TAATCACGTGCGGCTAAACAAGTCTGGTAATCTAGGGTTAAGTAGTAGGTATTATGTTTTCACTGTATAGTAGTTAATAGTTTTTTAATTATGTTGTATCTTTTACATTTATGTAATTCATCCGAAGAAGATAACTTCCTAACAAGTGTAATTTATCGCATTTACTAGAATTATGGATATAAATAGCTTGAAGGGGATTTACTTTATTCTTTAAACACAGGTAATATACTATAACTAATCTTATATTTGTGTTAATCTGTGTTGAGCTGTTTTTTTATCAAAGACTATAATAACTAATTTACTAATAGGTTGCATGATGTGTGAAACAAAGATAAATGTTAATAGATCATGCGGTATATGTTTTTAGTTGGGTGGTAATTATAAATAAACGTAGTTTTTTGCATAAATTGCAAAAAAAGAGCTTAATTTTTTTTAAACCATATAATTCAAAAAGTGTTTTTCCTCGTTTTCCCTCATGTATCTCAAAATAAAAATTTTGCATTGAAATTATACATATGAAACTTGTGATTTTATATGGACCATGTTTGTATATATCGCTGCGCCGGTGTATCAATGACGCAACTACAAAAGTGTAACTTTTCAGGAGAGCCAAAAATATAAAATTATTTTACTTAATACATCATGCAATGAAGTATAATGAAGTTACTGGATTAGTATTGCAGTTAGCCACCGTGATATACTGTAACTCTACTACACATTCGAAATGCATTCTTAATTTTTCATCCCTAAATTTGATCCCCAATTGCAATTGCACAAAATAACTGAGGCAGCAATGACATAATTGCAATTAGGGATCAAATTTAGGGATGAAAAATTAAGAATTTAGAATTTAGTTTTAGAAAGAAAAATTTAGAATTTAGTTTTAAGGATAAAATATTTCACATACATACTCATTTTGTAAAAATTTTTGGTTACCTAGCTAGTTTGAAAGATGGCATCGAAATAAGAATAAAAAGTCATTGAAAAAGTTTATTAAACAAATTGAAATAAACGAAAAATTGAATCGTAAAAGGCTTTAAAAAATCCAGGAATATGTTTTGAAAGCAACTGATTCAAATCTTTTAAATTGTTATCAGTAGTAATATCCCTAGGACATTGAAAACAGACGAGATAATTTCATGACAATCGAAAGCTCGTTCCTTGGTAACAGAACGAAGCCGAAGGCTGAGTGCTGTTTCCAAGCAACGAGCTTGAGAAATTTGTCATGAAATTATGAGGCATTCATCAATGTCCGAGGGATATTCAGCGGATAATTTTTCGAAAAAAAAATCAAACATAACGAAACATTTATTTATTAAAAGTACAGTTAGTGAAAGTACAATTATTAAAATTTAAGTTAACATTAGATTCGTTGCTGTTCTCTACTATAGAAGATCTATTATCACGCATAATATTTATAATCTTGTTGTGGTGATCTTGATCGAGATTCAAGTATGGTTTTATAGAAACGTGATATTTTGAAATTTATTTGGATGAAGTTGTCAAACTCGATCGTGTTGTCATAGGGATTGAAATATGCACTGAATGCAATTATCAGTCTAATGTTGACATGATTGGGTGAAATTGTTCCACATGACACAAAATGACGAAATTTGAATGGTTGTTAGAACAGTCGAAAAATTATCACCTAAATGAATTTTTGAAGAGTGCGCCCTACACAACTGGCATTTCGGTGAAAACAATTCGGATGAACGCCGACCCCTTCTTTTTTTTGGCAAACATCAATTTTCGCCCACGTTGGTTTATTTATAACTTTTTTTTATACAGGAAGTAATCTTTACCTTTTAAGATTTGAAGTAACATTACTTCAGTTATTTTGAAGCCACAGCCTTCTTTGGCTTTGGTGAAATCTAGTCCCATTTCATTGTACAGTGCTTTTACATCGCAAAACTCAGTGAAATCCATTTCTTTAACGGTTAATGGAGCTCCTGTTTTCTTAGCATTCCTAATTAATTCAATGTATTGCTCGAGAATATATGTAGGCCCTGATTTGGTTGCCCTCTTCACTGCTTTTTCTATAATGCTGTGGACTGAATCACCTTTAATTTTTATGTGACTGCGAACAAGGTACTTATTAGTAATATAATTGATGTCCAGAGAATTGACATCAAACAGGTACATGGCTATTAGAAATTTATTTATATTGTTGGCTCCCACAAATATCGGAATAAACAATTATATTAACTTCTGGGCTGGTTACTGACAATTCTTTTAGATAGTAATAAACGTAAGATCCGATTTCTATTGCCCCTATATCCCCCATCACTTTATTCCAAAAGATAGCTTTATTAATTTCACTAGTGCTATCTGTTTCGGAGACTTTAAAGTTGTGTTTAAAGTTGTGTTTTAAAGTGTTGTTTAAAAACAACAAAAGCCAAAATAAAAAACACTTACACAGTGGTGTGTACAAACTGAAATGTGGGGACTGAACAAAAACTTACATCGGTCAAACTGGTAGAAATTTTAATAAACGAATAGCAGAACATAAAAGGACTTTCAATAATAGAAAAACAGATTCTACATACGCACTTCACCTTCTAGATCATAATCATTCTTTTAATGGCGAATTAAAATTCTTCACATTCAAAATAAAGGCCTTAAGGTATGTTTGTAAGAATCTTTGGAAATTAACAAATTAAAAAACACAGATATAATTCTTAATAACCAACTTGACACAAACAGTTCTCCCCTGCTAAACCTATTTCACTAAAGACTATAAAGTGTAAACGCATGCCAAAAATAGATCACTTGAGAACGGCAATCAGCCGAAACAGCTATCAGTAGTGATAAGAGTTTAAAATAAATTTTGTAGAAGTTTGAAAACAAAGTTTTCAGTGTTTTATTGTTACATTTTAATTTTATACTTTTTTACTATTTTTACAACGCTTTTTGTAGTAGTACTTTTTAAATTTTGTCCATATCTCTGAAGATGTCTTTGTTTTCCGAAATCGCTCAGCTCAGAATTAAACTCTTTATACATTTTTCAAGTACTTTTTTTTAATTCATTGTTTATTGAAAAGTAGATGTATTTTTGTTTTGTCTATAACACTATTTTAAAAAGGCAGTAGCAATGCGATAATGGTGGTCTAAACTGTATTATAAAAATCTTGTCCGCGTGTAGCAAGTGATTCTTAGCAATTCTGTCGCACTCAAAATACAAAAATAAAAAGTAATATTTTAAAATTATATATAAGTTTTGTGCTAAAAAGATAAGTTAATAAGATTTGTACAATGTTACCTTCATTGCTACCATTGCAAATAATAAAAGCTTTAACGATACAGTTTGGATCTACTTATTTATTAACGTGACTAACACAAAACAAGTTTCTATGTTTCTTTATAAAATTGTCTATACCTTCATAATTTTAATTTAAAATACACTACCAAGCATAAAATTAGGGTCACCCCGTAATTTAAATTTATTTTAGAAATTATTATTGTGTTTTCAATACTATTTTCGGTTGTAACATAGCTTACTAATGGATTTCTTGAAAAAAAAATTGTTGTCGTTGTTGTTTCGACAAGCGTTTGAGATAAAAAATGCACCTTAGCCTAAATCCTAAAAACCGTTATCAGCACAGTTTTTGTTTCAATGATTTTAACGTCAATTGTAAATTGTTTGTGTATTGTTATTACTGTCAGTGTATTGCAATGAGCATAAATTCTGTTGTGGCGGCGTCAGAAGATGGTCACTGTCAGCACAAAACTGCGAGAAACGTTGGTGTAAGTCTCTCGAGTGTGCAACGAGTATGGCAACGGTACAAAGAGACCGGTCTGCTTACTCGAAGACCGGGTTCAGGTCGAGGCAGGATTACAACAGCTAGAGATGACCGCTTTGTCGTTTCTAGTGCTTTTAGAAACTGAACGGTCACGGCAGTTTCTCTTCGAAATCATCTGCAAGAAGTGAGAAATGTAAACATAAGTGAATGGACAGGTAGGAGACGACTTCATGCTGCTAGTTTATCTTCGATTACTAGAGTAACTGGACCGCCACTTTCCCGTTAACACCGAATTGCCAGATTGAATTTTGCACGAGAACACTTGGCTTGGACAATGCAGGATTGGAGTCGTGTATTGTTTTCCGATGAATCGAGATTCTGTCTTACGGGCTTAGACAAACGTGTAAGAGTGTGGCGACGTTCAGGCGGGAGATATGCTCAAACATGTGTTGCCGAGCGTCTTCCATTTGGTGGAGGGTCAGTTATAGCATGGGGAGGCATATCGTTTGATGCTTGCACGGAGTTAGTCTTTATCGAGAATGGGACATTCACAGCGCATAGGTATCTGACACAAATTCTGGAAGACCATGTTTTACCGTTTATGGTTATTCTTGGAGACGACGCCACATTTATGCATGATAATGCACGGCCCCACACTGCTGGATAGTTACTGAGTATCTTGACGAGGTTCAAATCACACGATCTGTTTGGCTTGCTCGCAGTCCAGATATCAATCCCATAGAACATGTTTGAAATGAGGTGAAGAGTCGTTTATGGAGTCATGTGCCGGCCCCCGGAAATTCGAGAGAGCTTTGCGATGTATTGGTGCAAGAATGGAATAATCTTCCGCATAATGTGATCCAAAATCTGATCCAAAGCATGCCTCGTCGTTTGCAAGCTGTTGTCACTGCCAGAGGAGGGAATACTTGCTACTGAAGTTCTTAAAATTTCTTTTTTCAACAAAAAGCACATCAAATTAAAATTGTCCCTTTTCAATATTTAGTATATCAAAGCAAAATTCTTCATTTCCATTATTTTTAATAAACTTTTAACGACAAAAACGTTGTTTTCTTTAAGCAATCCGTTAGTAAACTATGTTACAACCGAAAATAGTTAAAACAGAACAGTAATTTCTAAAATAAGTTCAAATTACGGGTGACCCTAATTTTGTGCTCGGTAGTGTATAATGGCATTTATAAGCCTTGTGCCTTGAAAGGTTAATAAATCACAATAATTCATTTTTGCTCTATTTGTTTATAGAACGTGGAACGACATGTACTACGCCCAATGGAGAATTAGCAACATGCGCATCAATTTATGACTGTAAACATTTTGTAACAGCCATAAGAAATCGAAATCCATCACAATTAAACTTTGTGAAAAAGTCACAATGCGGTTACGATACAGCAGCTTTGGTTTGCTGTGGTTCCGCCATCGATTTTTCAACTACTAGAAGTCCATCGCCGAACCCAGATACAAGAATACTTCCGTCTGTTTTTACTAAAAGCTCAGCTATTCCTGATAGAAATAGGTGTGGTTTTCAGGTGAGCAATCATTAAATTCACTTAAGAAAATAAAGTTTAATATCTTAAATGTATAGTTTACTATTTTTATTGGGAATTATATATAGTTTTTATTTTCATTTGGGAAATCGTTCTCGAAATCAATAATATAAATCTAGATTTTTAAATAAACCTATAAAAAAGTCTAAGTCAGTTAGGTCGGGGAAACTTACTGGCTATTCAATAAATTCTTTTTCGTCCAATCGATTACCTAGAAACTGTTCATTAAGGTATCGCCTTACGTTTATGATATGACACAGAAATACGCCATCTTGTTGGAAAAACAAATCATCTTTTGAGTACTTGTTGTAACGAAATATTTTGCCTACCACACGGGGTAAGATTATGGGGTATAAAATTGGGGACTGAAACTATAGGGTGAAGATAGGGCAGGCAAAATAAACGAAACATAGGCGAACGGCACTCAGGGTTTGGTAGGAGAGCTGGGGTCGTGGATAAGTAAAAGGTTGGATTGGGGCAACTACAAAAAAATGAAATAAAGGGGTACTTATACAAATCTCTTGGGACAAACAAAACAAAAAGAAACAGGAAACACCTCTAGTAATTTATATAAAGCGCCACTTTGAGGTGCCTAATTAAATAACCAAAGAAATAATTATTAAAAAATCAAAACATAAAAAAAAACATATCTTTTTCAAATAAAACTCAAAAAAGGGTTAGTTCAAAAAATATAAACAAAATGTTAAGAAAACAAACTTTAACATTTATTAGTGTTTTACCACAAACAGTTACAAAACATAGAGAACACAAGAATGCTCAAAAAAAAACAATACAAAAATATTACCACGATAGTCGCAAAATACAAAAAACTTACATGCGTTTTACTAATTTACAAATTCAGGATATGCTACAAAAACTTACTAATGTTACTGACGTATAAACTGTGGCGAATATAAAAATTATTATAAATAAAAAAATTATCTTTTTAAACAATGACAGCAATTATTACTTTAGCAAAAAAGTGTCTGTCTTTACTTTAAAATTTAAAACATTAAATGTTACCTTGATTTTTCACTCGTAATTTTGCAATCAAACTTCTGAAAACTAAACAGGAACTTACTGGAACAAAAGAAAGCCATTTCCATAATCTGGAACGAAGATCTGACGTGGATGGACTGCATCAAACAGGAAAACAGCAACAAAGTTGGTGGGACATCCTATACACTGCTTCAAAATTTCATCAGTGTACTGCACAAATCATCTTCCACCGCTACATACTTTCACAGAAGGGCCAAAAACAGAAAAACACAAATTCGATGGTGAATTTGCGGATCCATACTTGCGATCCACACAGTAAACCAAGTAAGAATTAATCTACACTTGCACCTAAGCGACCCAAGTAATCTACACTTGCACCTACAGCGACCCAAGTAAGAATTAATCTACACTTGCACCTACAGCGACCCAAGTAAGAATTTAGATCCATACCTGAGACTACGACGACCCAAGTAAGAATGACGAACTAAAAAATTCGTTCATATAACTTGAAAACAAACAAACGCTGAAATAACAAAACACAACGAAACAACGTAGATATCCTATTTCTATGACGCAAATTATTGATCTCAAAACGAGGTACTTCGGGAACTAACAGCCGTAAAATATAAACAAACTATAAAATGGTTTATATTAACTTGGCCGACCTAAGAAAAAATTGAAAGCATATTTGAGTTTTTATACGCTCGATAGGAACAAACATACACTAAAAATATTCTACGATTTTTCACACATATATGAGGGGACCTCAATATATCACATATACGAGGGGGTTTCAATATACACCAAAGAATCAATGAAATTGCAAATGCTACATTGTTATCATTTAACCCCCCGTTAACTTTACAACTGCTTCTCTGATCAAATTTTGTTGCAAAAAGGGTGGTTCAACATTACGATCTTCATAAATTTCTGCACGTATGTTTAATTGCAATAGCTATTGGGTATGTGTTTCGTTGAAAAATCAAGTGGAGGATTTTTATCAGATCAATAACAGCGATTGTGTCGATTTATAGTAGCATTTAAAAAAATATACATGTTTCACGGCACATGGCGCTCCACTCTTCAATCAAAATCCTACTGTCAAAAATATTCGCGCCAACCCACGCACCAATCTCCGCGCCAATATCCACGCCAACCTCACCCTAACCACGTCACCATCGATAGTATAAATGAACCGTCCTCTGTTCCCAGTAGCAGTTCTTCTTCTTAACGTGCCCTATCAAGTCCCCTTGACGTTGGCGATTAACATGGCCAAACTGTCTCTGTCTCGAGCTATTCTAAATAGCAGTACTGCATTAATAAGTGAACAGTGTAGTAGTGTCTGTGGGATCGGGAGACTGAGACCTCCGAAGCTGTAAAGAAGACATCAAAGAGGATGTAAGGGACATTAAAAAATAAAACCAATTGAACTGCAGAAGGAAACAGAGCGAGCGAAGCGAAAGAAATAGAAAATTGAGGTTCGGGGTGGGGTTCGTGTAGAGTGCGCGCGTATCCCTCATTTTCCAACGCGTGTACACTAACGACTACTAAATTTGTGGTTTCTGGTTTGTACAACCGTTACAAATTACCATACCTACAATGGTGACAGAAACGATGTCTCTAATTTCGGACAACTCCGTTAAAACCAGGACGTATAAAAAGCCTATCTGTAGGTAACTTCAGCTTTCTGAAGGGTCATTATAAGTCAAAAGCGAGCCTTAACGACACAGACGCAATATTCTGACGTAAGTTAATACCATAGCTAAGTTATGCGAGATAATGACATGCATTGTTATACATATCTTCCAAAATCGAACACGCTCCACAGTAATTAAACCGCTTTGTCGATTTTATTGAGATGGGCTGAAATAATTCGGATGTTTTCTTTAAAAAGAATATATGGCTAAAAACATGAATTACTCAATTACATAAAACATTTTTTAAATATTTCATTTCCATTAGATAATGCTTCATCTTCTGAAATTATTTATTAATCAGATCTTTTAAATCTTTTTTAAAGACTAATAATTTATTTGTAAGTATCAAAATAATACGTATAATTTTAGGAATCTGATAATAATAATAAGCTAGAAGGCTTTATTTATGGAGGAACAGAGACAGATTTAAAAGAATTTCCGTGGATGGCATTACTCGGATACAGATCGAGATTTGGAACAATAAAGTGGGCTTGTGGAGGTACACTAATTAGTCATAGATATATCTTGACAGCCGCGCATTGTGTAACAGGAGATGTTTTAACTCTGGTTGGACGACTGTAAGTATATATTATAATTATCAACTGCAACTGTAACTTTATTGAGCATATTGCTAATTCGTTAGGCTAGAATGACAGGGTTCCAACTAACCACAACCTAGTTTTGAGAAAACAGTCCCCAAAGTTTAATCTTGACACTACACAAGTGTTTTTGATATATTGTTTGATTTTTGTGTATACACTTCTTAGTTATATACATAAAAAGGTTTTAACTGGTAAAAAAAGAAAAAATGCTCCTTGGTAAGAAATTTACAATTTTTTTTGATTATAGTTGGAACCTTGTCACTTTTTAAACTTGACATTTTATGTATGACAAGGTTCTATGTGGTAGGTGGAACCTTCTCATACCAAAGTAAATTATTTATTTAGTCTGATCCATAGGTATAGTTAGTGAGATTCTGAAATAATTACACTGGTATAAATTTCAATTACTATGATTTTATTTTAAAGAAAGGTACAGTAAGTGTTTTTGACCTATGTCAACATTTTCACAGTTTTAATGTGGTATAGAACGCTTTGTCTTGCAAGGGCATAAACTTTAACATTGACTTGATGTCCTTTATTTTTTCCGCTGAGAGTGTTGCCTTCGAGTTCACTAGATGTTTGGGTTTTATCAATTTCCAGATTGGTGTGTTTGCTTCGGCTACTGTTTGCTTGCTTTTTTGTGTCACTCTTCCTTTCTTGGACGCCGATACAGCAAACCTCAAGATTACGGTCACTAAGTTCTCTTCCAAAAAAGAGGTTTTGAATGAGATCAAATGCAGGCATTGTGTGAATTCTAAAACTGAAACTTGAAAGAATGGAACCAACTGAAAGTTTAATACTTTAGAGGATGAACCAAAGTCAAGAAAATCGCTGTCTCTCATCTGAAGTACTCGGATTGGGTGCTGACGGTTCAAACCTTTTAAGATGCGTATTAATCCAAGAGGAGAGTAGAACTCGTTCTGAGACATGCCCTTTTCAATAAGACTATGAGCATTGTCCACTTCTTGTATGCAAGAATGACCTGGTACAGAGTACTTCATAGTTATCTTCTTTATAGTGGGATTATTGTGCATGAAATTCAGAATTGCGCAAGACATAAACGAGTTCCTATTTTGTGGAACACATGAGTCACTCCACAAGATTAGTTCAGTTATTTCATGCTCAAGTGCCACTTGATTCAAAATTTTGTACACAGCACTAGCCAAATCATTGCCGGTGCGTCCTCCAATGACCTCAGTCCATAAAGCGCAGTAAATAGTCTTACTAACAGACAAGTGTGCAGTCATATTGTATGTATTCAGTTTTCTTTTGTAAAAGAAAGAACTAATTTCAGCCCTGGGGCAGCCAATGACATTCTGCAGATCGAAGCAGAGTACTGGAACTAGTTTATTTTCCCTGTCTTGTTTGCGATTTTCACGCATAGCGTCCTTTTCCTTAACGTGCGCTTCATATTTCAATTTCATTTCATTGGTGGCAATATTTTGTGAGGAAGCAATCCTATACTCCTCACAAAGATCACAGCGATCAGATTTCCGTACGTGAAAGTCTAGGTTAAATTCTGTCACAAAAATATGTCGATACATACTTAGCTTAACAGGCACAACATTTTCCTCCCTACACTTTTCTGTGTAAAGTTTGTACATTTTAGCTAAATTGAGGTTTGAATCCAGATATTTTCTTTGTGTTGTGGCCCTACAGTAATGAGACTCAACATTGGGAAACGATTTTATGTGATTTATCACAGTTTCTTTATTTTTTCATTGAGGCGTCTTGAACTTTGGGCACTTTTGCCCCTACCATCCGGCTTGGGTGTATTGCTAACCTCATCTTTGTTTTTATGAACCGTATAGACAGGTTTTTGTGAGATGCTTAGGGTTCCTAAGTAAAATTTTTTGCAGACTTTTACCTTTTGGTTACCAACATTAAAGAAGTACCTAAAAGTGAATTTTTTGTATGATTCTCTGTTTCTATCTTTAGGTCTTTCTGTCTGATATTTTGTGGTTGTACTCAAGATATATTGATGTTTTCCATTTTGATTCATGCCATAAAACGCCTTAAACAAAGCTTGTCTTTCAATTTCACTAATAGATACCCCACATTTAAATTTACAGTTATTTAAACAGTCCTTCAAACTTTTAACTTCTTTAGCGGGCACTGCAACTCCTCTACGACTCACATAAGATTCCCCTTTTTGATGGCTGATAGAACGTTTCTGGCTTTTCCAAGAAGAAACATCCCTTTTTCTTCTCTTAACAGGAGGAGGTTTAGTGTTTGTTATTTGATCAATAATAATTTCTTCCCCAACCGGATTTATAGGCAAATGGACCTCATCATTTGAAGTAGTTTGGTGAGTGCCAGCGGTTAAAGTTGATGGGAGATCTATGGGCATCAACGCTGGTTTTAATTTAGTTGCAGTTGTTGAAATATCTGCAGAAACACGCTTGTTGGCTTTATTTCTGGGTCGCCTGCAAAATACCATTAGAATTAGCTTCTAAAATAGTAGGACTATGACTATATACTAGTTTAAAAACCTCAAATGAATCATTTGAAATACCATAAGTCTATTTACTCTCCAAATGAAAGTTTAAAAATTGATTATGTGCAATAGAACTTTTGAAAAGTGGACTATTTAAAAAAACTAAACTAAAGCGATAAAACTTAAATGTTTTGAAAAATGTGGATTTAAATAATAAATTATGGAATTTTTAACGTTATTTGTAGTTTGATTTCATACAAATGACTAGATTCCACGAAGTAAAGGTTTCAACAATAAAAAATATAGGTTAGCTTACCTGTCAGTAATTTCTTCATTTTCATCGCTTACATTTCTGATGATGGGAAGTAAGAATCACCAGAGTCCTCTAATTCGGCATCTTCACTTAATACTTCAGTAATAAGTCGTCCCAACTCATTTAGTTCCGTCATTGTTATAAACAATAACATACATAACCTCAATACTAGACAGTGAACATGAACAGCTGTTGCAGTTGGAACATTGTCAAACGAATACATGCAAATTTTAATTATTTGTTGAGTGACAAGGTTTCATGTGTCACCTGAAACCATGTCATTCTAGTTTTGTTTTGTTTATGTTCACAGATGGAACCTTGGCATTGTAATTAGTCAGAATTGCGTTGTTAGCCAGCGCTGTTGTCAGATCAAAAGATAGGGAAGGTCAGTTGGAATTTTTTCACACTAATAACTCCAAATATGCGATTTTGTTAGTTGGAACCCTGTCATTCTAACCTAACGAATTTAAAATACGAGATTAGGTAAAATATATCGCAAATGACAAATAAATCATTAGGTAATAAAAAACAAATTTTAAAGAACATAACAAAACATAAGTTATTTCACAAACTAAACATTAATGTGTAATTGTATAGCTACTCAGGTACAGAGTACTACATAGGAAAAGAAAGTCGGCACATATGTGGTTCATTTTCGTCTATATGGTGCGTATAAGATCGATTCAGTAAAGTCAGTGGCCTATAAAGGGCAGACAAGTACCAACTTGGTACTCTGCAGCATCTTCGCAGGCATTCCATTTCTGTTGCTACTATCTTACTGCTGTTTTTCTCGTTTATTAACCAATTTTCAGCCCCATATGTCATAATACTTCGCACTAATGTTTTATAAACCTGTGTTTTTGTTTTCATATTTAGGTGTCGATCCCATTATACTTGGTTAAGTTGTCGGATTGCTATTCTTGTTTATCCTAATCTTTGCATAATTTCCCAAGTATTTGAATTTGTTCTTTCCTGTGATTATTACGTTGTCATCAATCTGCAGATCTTCTATATCTTCTTTACTTGTAGATGGTACTCTGTTTTCTCGATGTTAATATCTAGGCCAGGCTTGGTATATTCTTCTTGCAATTTCTTCTTTATATAGCGGAGGTCTTCTTGGTCTTGTGCAATCACTACTTGATCGTCTGCAAAGCTTAACGTATATAAGTATTCGTTCCGCACCGGTACTCCCATGCCTTCGCATTTTCTTTTCCATGTAGTCAAGGATTTCTCTAAGTATATTTTGAATAAAGTTGGAGATTTGGAACAACCCTGCAGGGGTCCTTTTGTCGTGGTGAAGTCTCCTATGATTTTTGTTTCCACTTTAATGGACAATTTATTTTCTTTATACAGAGCTTTTGTAGCTTTGTTCCGTCTGTATTTAAATTGGGAACTACAGACCTATTATCTGGTTATCTCATTTAAATAACCTGTTTATGAGAATAATTAGAAATAGACTGGGACCTAAGCTAGATTTTAACCAACCACCAGAGCAAGCCAGATTTAGGAGTGGCTTTGGTATGAATGAACACCGATAAGTAATAAAATCCTTGATTTAGAAAGTTCTTTTTCTTCTTTTTTTTATGTAGACATAACTTTGTCTGTTTTTCAGTGAGCCTCTAGTAAGTTGTCGTTCCATCGTCTTCGTGATCTTCCTACTTATCGTCTTCCCATTAAGGAGTTGCGGTGAGTTAAGGACTTAAGGTTGAATGGTGCGGTTATATTGCCATTCAAAACTTAATGATGATATTAACTCATTCACTGCCGGTCACGCCACTGTGGCGTGCTCGGCTATATGCGTCCTGTGCCGACCACGCCATAGGTGCGTGGTGTACATGTCTGCTAATAACAAAGTTTTTAAGTAGTCGGCACTTGCTTTATAGCTATCAGACTTCATCGGCACTTCGAGAAGGTTTATTGTAAATTAATTACTATTTAACTGGGAATAAGCCACAATTAAAGATAAAAATACGTTTATTCACGTTTCAATTTCCACTTCGGAAATCGTTCTCAAAATACAAACAGTAAATTAAACAAATTTTGTTTTTTGTTACATAGTGAAAAATTCTTCTAATAATTTAATTTTATCTGACTCTTTTATATTGACAATTCAGACATTCATTATGCATTTTAAAGTAGATGACTTTAAAATGATATTGCCAATATTGTTGAGTTGCGCTCCTGGGACGACTTTACTTATAAGATAGTTCATTAATGTTGCATAAA